TTATTCGAATCAAGAAGCCTCACATGCAAATTGTTGGCGAAATATCGAAATGAAGAATGGTCATGGCTACAGAAGTCTAGAATTAGGTGGATCACCGAAGGAGACCGTAATACTCGTTTTTTTCACAGCTATGCATTGTCCAGGAGAGATTAAACTTTATAGTTTCCTTATCTGTGGGAGGGTAAAGGTGGAAGAACCTGCTGAGGTGAAGAAGGTTATATTTTCATACTTCAGTAATCTTTATGAGATCAAATCAACATTGGAAGTTGTTAATTTTTCTCTCCCTTTTATCAAGCTTGACGAGTTGCAGGCTGTCAGATTGGAATCTAGGTTCAAAGAGGATGAGGTGTTCCAATCGGTGCAAAACTCTGATGGAAATCGTGCACCGGGCTCAGACGAGTTTAATTTTAATTTTTTAAAAATGTTTTGGCCGAATTTGAAAGGAGCAATCATGTGTTTCTTTGTAGAATTTTACGATTCTGGTGTTTTGGATTTGCGTTTGAATAACTCCTTTATCTCACTTATTCCAAAGAAACTTAATCCGCAGTCACTCGAAGATTACATGCCTATCAGCTTGGTCGGAGGGGTTTACAAGTTGCTTAGCAAGGTACTTCATAATCGGCTTCGTATGGTGTTGAGTACTCTTGTTAGCAAGTCACAACTTGCATTTATCCCGGGGAGACAAATTTTGGACTGTGCGCTGATTGCTAATGAAGTTATTGACACAATGAAAAAGAACAGCTACTCGGGAGTAGTGTTTAAAACTGATTTCAAAAAAGCTTACGATATCGTTGATGGGGGTTTTCTTATGAGGATTTTGAAGGAAAAAGGTTTGGTGAGAGATAACAGAGATGGATTTATGACTGCATTTCTTCTGCGTCTATCGCAGTACTAGTGAATGGATCTCCGATTGATAGTTTTCATCTTGCTAGAGGTATACGACAGAGTTGTCTATCATTGCCCCTCTTTTTCAACTTGGTGGGCGAAGCATTGAACCTTTTCTAAGGCGGTTGAAGTATGGTTGTTTTCGGGCTGCATCGTTGGTAATGTCAGTTCAGGGGTGGAGGCTTCACACCTTCAATATGCAGACGATTTGATTTTGTTTTATGGACCTTCTGAAACTCAAGTGCTAAAGGTGATAAGGGTGCTGAAAGTGTTCGAGTTAGCTTCGGGCTTAGAGCTGAATTTAAGGAAGTGATCGGTCTTTAGGATCAATGTCAATGCAGAGGAGATTCAGGCTTGGGCAGCTCGGGTTGGTTGCTCCGTAGGAAGTTTCCTGTCAACTTACCTTGGGGTTCCGTTGGGTGCGCATCACAATTCTAAGTCCCTGTGGGAGCTGGTGATAGAGAAAGTTGAAAAACAACTCGCAGGGTGGAAAGCTCTATCACTCTCCTTCGGAGGAAGGATTGCTTTGATTAAGTCGATGATTTCTAATCTTCTTATTTACTTTTTATCATGCTTTAAGATGCCTGCTTCGATTTATTCTAAGCTTAACGAAAATTTCAAGATTTTTGTAGGGCGGGTTGCTGAATAGGAAGGGCATCCATTGGGTTAGTTGGAACGAAGTCTGTTTACCTACTAAAGGTGGTGGCTTGGGTATAGTTGACCTGAAAAGAATAATTTGGCCTCATTGGCAAATGGGTTTGGCATTTATGTTCGGAGCCTTCTAGCTTGTGGAAAAGCATTGTTTCCACTAAATATAAATTTGATCTTACTGCTATCCTTCCTCCGGATCGTTTGTCGGGGCCTCGTGGATTTGGCGTGGGATTCACTCAACTTACATTAGAGGTACATATGATAACCCTTTAAGGAACCATTTCTAATTGCAGGTTTTCCCTCACTATTTAACCTATAAATAGTAGGCAATTTTGCTTGTTTGATATATATCCCATAAGCATTTGCTTTGAAACTCTCTTTGATTTTCATAAACCTATTTGGAGGGTTGTTTTGAGTTTTGAGAGAAGAGCAGTACCACCATTGTCCATTCCATCTTTCAAACGTACAGAACTTAGAGAGTCGTAGCGAGTCGTGCTAACTTGGGGGGCATTCATTCATTGTAGCTATTACACACATGGAGTGAATTCACTTTTAAGGCCGTTGTTAATACCACTACATCAATTTGTTTGATTATATTATTTAATATTTTTCAATCAATGTTAATACTTTGTTTTGCAACAGTCAATTTTTCCAACAATAACTCCGTACCAGGGTAACATTTTGTGATTTTATTCTGTGTTGGTTATTATAATTTACTAATACATTGAAATCCATTATTTTTCAGCCATTGCTTTTGTGAAGTGTAGTCCACCCGCCGCCCAAAAAGTTAAAATATTGAACTGTTCAAATAAGACAATTTAATTTCAGTTGTAAATACGAAATTAAGTATGTATACTTGTTCTTTTATCGGAATGTATACTTGTTCTTAATATTGGCTTTTGTATGCACAAATACTTGGAAAACAACAGTCATTATACCAACGGTACAACGCTATTTTTTATCTCGAGTAGAACCCGAATCTTGAATCAAGACTCATGCTCAAACAACAATACCTGCACAGAATTTCAAATCAAACAATCAGAAAAGAAGCAAGAAGCAAGACACGATCGTGTCATAAAGGAGAGAAACTCATCATTTTTTTTTTGGATTTCTTATAATATGACAACCCATCCCAACGGTTAAAAGCTATGGGCAGTGGATAGAGTAATATATCTTCACCCTAGACCAAATGGACAGTTGAAAATTGAAATAGGGTGTGAAGAAGTTTCAAAGTTGAGGAATATTTTTTATTTGTTTGATATCGATTCAGGGGAAACGAAGGATGAAAGTACGAGGACGAGGACGAAAAGAGTTGGTATGTAATTTTTGAGGTTCATCGGTCATAATAGACGATTGTGGTTAATGAAATTTTGTTCGATTTTAGGAATAATTTTAGAAAAAATGTGAGCCTTTGAGATAAGGAGAGAGAAAATTAAAAGAAGATTATTGTAACTCGCTTTAAATTATGTAGTTTTAGATTTTTATTCAATGAAGAGTAACATAAAATTGTGTGTGAAGATTTATAAACATTCATAAATAGGGAAGGACATACAATTTGATGCTATGAGATAAATTTATAATACTTCAAGATAATCTTATAAAATTTTAGATGATAAAAATATTTTATCAATAAAATATAAAAAATATCTAAAATATATAAAATTTAAAATTTCTAGAAAGGGTGACTGGTTCCTCTAACCCATCCATTCCTGTATATATATTCACTATGTTAAATATTTAAAGTATTTGATTTATTTATAATAGCAAAAATCATGTTATATATAAAGTAATTTTCAAATGAATTTCTCCACATATGACAGTTTAAATAAGTAGCTTATACAAAAACGATGAAGGTAGTTGTAGTTGTTAATTAAAGCAATGAAAACCAGTCTTGCTTATTTCGATACCTTGTTTTAATTTAGAAGAAAGCTCAAGTCCCTTCAAAGTTGGCCAAGGCTGCACTTGCCATCTTTGATTGTTTATTGTACCAGCTCATGAATCTGGCTATAAATTCTGTGTTCAACAATTTCAATATAAATTAGGAAAACAAGCGATTGCAAAATCTCCATTTAATTAAATCCATACCTTCGATTCTTGAGAAAATCCTGCTGTCCTTTGTTTCCATGTCATCTTCACTCTCGATCATATTTTCATCATCCCTCTTAATTAATAGCAGTTAACTTTAGTTAACATAATTGTATGCAAAGATAAATCAAAGGGTTGATCCATATTCTTACATTGTATTCTTCATATAAACAATCTACTAGTGGGTGCAGGCTATCCTGCAAGTGCTTCTTCACTTCTGCCACCAATGACTGTAAATTATTAAGATTTATTAAATTAACTTGATTGAAATAATGTAATCAAACATAGAGACTACTGATTCAAAACTAAATTGAACATGAAAATAAAGCAAAATTTAGTCGATTCTAATCGATTGGTAATTAATCTAATTTTTGTCTCTCTTTTTAATTTTACTTTTAGCTTTTTACCATGTTTTTTAAATTAAGCTAGTATATTTTTTTTTATTTAACCACTTGTACCAACACTCGTTTTATTTACCGTATTTTATTTAACAATAAATATCATTATGAAAAGTTATAATTAATAACATTTGCCTTATTTTATTTAATTAGAATTATATTTACCGTATTTTATTTAATAAGAATTGTTTTGAGAATTACAACATATTGCGAGTAGGTGAAATATTTTACTTGAGCTTTTATTGTGAGCCCTACTTACCATGAATATGAAGTGGAGAAACATCATGCTCTACCAGATTTTGAAGCTTTCTGCGGATTATATACAACCTGTAATTCACCAAGTTCAAAAGGTTGAGCAATTATAGATAATCTAATTATCATAATATGATCAAATGATGTTAATATCTTCTCTTACAAAGTTTGAATGATGTTATTTTTTAAAATTTAAAAAAATTTAAATAATTTTTTCTGTAAGTGTAAATGAGTTTATCCAGATTTAAAATCCAACATAAATATTATCTTATAATTATATTAAAACTTAAAAAAAAAATAACAACTCACTGTTTCGGGCTTCGCTCCTCTACCATGTTTTTGGCAATATTGGCGATGTCCTCTTCCCATTCGGTTAGAATTTTTTGGTCTTCCTTGAAGGGATAACTGAAGTTGAACAACAATAATATAGTTTTACAAAAAGAAAAAAAAATCTGTGGGAAAAGCTTACTAAGAAGGAAGGTATGAAGGTGACCATGAATCCCGGCACGCTTCGAATGAACGAATGGCTTGACGCAGATTATTTTTTGAACTTTCAGCAATCTTTTCAGCCAACTTATGGGGCAAAGAAAGGCCTTCTTGTTTAGCTATAAATTCCAGGACTTGAACAATCTGAAGTCTCAAAAAACAAAGCTTGATAAAAAAAACACATCATTTTATGTTGCAATTAGGAATTAAAGAGCAATGGCAGCCACCTCTTGTTTGGAAGGCGGTAATAACTTAATGAGTGTGCAAAGTGACCTAATCGGCTGAAGCTTTGACACGTTGGAGCAGCAGAAGAAAACCTTGTTCCCCGCTTTATACCTTTCTAACAGCCATCGGATGTATAACAAAGCATCTGGGCTTAATCTGTCTGCTTCACATAAGATAATCGCTACACAAAAATTCAACCTTTAAAAAAAGTATATACGGCTAATGATTTGTGTTGTTGTTGTAGAGTAGTAGGGTTGATTACTTCTACAGTCTTCAGGGTCGTTGGACAAAGCTTTATTAGGTTTAGAGTTCTTTGTTTGTGTTTCCTTCATTAGTTCCACTATCACATGCTTCTCGTACCCTCTTAGATCCGACAGATTGACTTCTACGTGTTTGGAAGATTCCTTTACGTCTACTTCGATTCTTCCTACTGCTTCCCCCTGTCATTGATTATACATTTTTCATTACAATGCTATAGGGAAACAAGTCAACGTCGTTTATTAATGCAGAGGATTATCGATTACCTTCAAGTGAAAAGCCTTGCGCTCGTCTCTTGTCTGCAAAACAATGAACCCTTTAGTAAGATAGCTAGAAATTTAGGCCAAACTATGGCTTGTCCTTCAAATTTAATCCTTTTGTCCAATAATACCATTAATTAATCTAAGTAGTCCGTTTAAATGAAATGGTGATGTGTTTATTCTTAAAAACATCCATGAAACAAGAAAGGATAAACTACATATTTAGTCACTCACTTTTTCCATTATTCCATTTTGGTCACTCATTTATTTTTCTTTTCAAAATCGTACCTAAAATTATGTTTTGACCACCCACTGTTAAAAATTAATGATGATTTTGAGATATAATCATAAGATAATATCACGTCATCATTGAAAAATAAAAGTGTCACATCTATATTTATGTTTTTTCTAACGGTGGGTGACCAAAACGGTACTAAAATATAATTTTAGATATGATATTGAAAAGATATTATTTGATGAGCAAAACTAAACCACAAAAATAATTGAATGACTAAATACGTAGTTTACCAAAAATTATATCGATTTGATGAGTTGAAAGACTTAATTTTAAGAAAAAAATGACAGTATTTAATTTAAATAATTGAGGTGTTTATTATTTCAACAAACTAGTGATATTATAATTGCAGAGGATCAGTTTTAATAAATTAAAATGGCCTTTTAAAAAAATTAAAATAGATTTGAAGTAAAATTAAGTGTTCAGATTATATTCAAAATTAATCTTTTATATTTAAAGAATTTTTTTTTGTTAAAAATAAGTGTGTTTTTCGTTACACCTACTGTTAAAAAACCTGTTAAACGACACGCCCTCTTTATAATTTTTATATTTTTTTAAAAATAAAATAGTCTTTAAAAGAGGGTCCTCTAAAAACGAATACGCCAACACCAGAGACCATGCTGTTTTCATGAAGTGAAGTTAAAGGGTCTTCTAAAAGGGGGCAATTTACATTAGAAGTCGCATAATTTAGCATCAATTTGCATTTAAGTCAGAAATCTTTAACTTTATCAAATTACATTATCGAACATTTTATTGTTAACAAATTAAACTAAAAACATTCAATGAAATTAAGATAATAAAATTTCATTAATATTATTTAATTAAAATAAAATAACTACGATTCATATAATATTTTATGTTAATTTGGTGACCAAAAAGATAAAATTCCTTCTAATGACGGACACAGCCAAAATCATGGTTCCTCCCTCTAAATAATATGGTCACCCAATATTATTACAGGATATTTAATATTAAGGTACCTGAACTCGGTCGGGTCAAAAAACTTCTCGAAGCATGGCCAAAATCAGGAGGTCCTTCAAATATAATGTGATTACATTCTTCACTTTTCACCTATAATATACGCCATACAATAGGGATACCAAGTATTAGAAACTAACGAAGTCTATACATATGAATAGTGATAGTAAATATTGGCATATTTTTTATTTTAGTTCCTCAACTATTTTAAAATTTAAGAAATTTTAACTTGATTTCTTTAACTATAATATTATAAGTAGCTCAAAATCGGTAACACTGTTAGCTTTTATTATTAAAGTGATTGTTAGAGATCGTCATTTAAATTCGATTTGAGTCGGTTTGAAAATTTTATAATTCTTAATGTTTTATTTTGTTATGACCTTTATTTATTAAAATATTTTTAAAAAAATTAATATATATATATATAAAGTCTTTTTAAAAGGGAAATTGTGGAGGCTCCAACCAGTCCTTTATAGTTTTGTCAATTGTGTGATAATCATTGCTATTATCTACGATAATTACGTAATAATGATTATGTGAAATTTCTTTTTACTGTTATTCAGTCTCATATTATTTTTACGTAAAATTCTCATTAATAATTTTCAATTGATAATAAATGTACATGTTAATAAAAATATTTAAGGCTATTATCGATATAGAGTTATTAATAACATTATAAAAATTTAAGCAATAAATCTTAAATTTCAACATGATATAAGGGCTAAAATAAAAATAGACCATAAGTAGATAATTCTCACCAGTGCCTGCAACCGAGTGACCTCACTTCTATTGCAGATGAAATCTTTCAAAGTTTTGGGCCGGTACTTGTCTGCCAATACGTACTTTTGGTGCACCTTGCAAACATCGGCATCTTTCTGCTCAACAACAGTTCCGTCTGCCGACAAGATTACCGGCGCCTTCACCGGTGTGGTCGCCGGTTCCCATACTCTCTCCCTCAATGGCTTCTCCTCAACTACTAATTGAACATCAGGAGGATCGTCGACCTCCTTTTTCTCTATCCTTGTAGTCGTTTTATTAGACGTTGACGACGAAAAACTAGTTACTTTAACAGGTTTCAGAACATCAGCAGGCGTAGAGGGCTCCTTGTAATGATCACCACTTGTCCTACAAGTAAAACAACTGGAACCATATTCTTGAACTTTACCGAACAAACTCGAAAACGAGCTAGATGAATTGGCCGCAGTTGTTGCTTGACTCTCTCGACCGGGACTGCTGTCGGCTCCAGACATGTTCTTTTCGCGGTTTATAGAAAGGGTGGAATCAGTGAGTCCTTTGTAATAAGGACTGCATTTATTGTTCCTTTCATCGTTCATGCCGGCAATGAAATTGGTGACATGAACCTTATGAGGAAACATTCCATGGAACTTGTTATGTGCACCGAGACTCTCCTCTGTTAAATCGGACTCTTTTCCCCGTCGATTGATGAAGTCGCCTAGTTTACTGATGTTGCTCCAACTAATCCAGGAGGATTTTTCGCGATGATGAGTCGAGTCCGATGAGCGACTAGACCAGGGGATGACGACGAGTGTCTCGGCTTTCGATGTTGTGATTGCGAGGTCCGGATCGGATGAGGAGCGTCGGGGGCGTGTAGTTGGACTCGGAAATGCATTTGTTGTGCTGACATGTCAGTTTCTGTAACTATGCTTTGCTTTGTTTGCCATCCCACGGTTGCCCTCCTTGTTTCTTTAACTATCTTTTTTTTCTCTTGATATCTACCGATAAAGATGTTGAGGAACAAACTTTGGGGGACATCAAAAGCTTCCCCTAGTTCATTTTTTAAGAAAAGAAAAGAAAATTTTCATTAGATAATATTTTTTTATTTTAAATTAAATATGCCAGTTATACTCTACGTTTCAATCTATTAGTCAAATTTTTTTATTCAAAGATATTTTAATTATGCTTTATTAATTTTTAAATTTAAATGTTTATCGAGAAAATAATTTTTTGAGCATCAAATTTATTTCTCAACAATTTTTTAAAGAAATTCTCCCTTAACTTTGAATCATCAGTAGCATTTCAATTTCAATTATTTTTAAATGGGTAAGTTTTTTAATTTCTTTCAAGATATTAAGTTTACAAGGACGATAAATTATGATGATAATATGAAATTATTTTAACTAGATTAATTGAATTATAACAAGAATAATTGTTGAGTGAGACCAATAAAGTGAAAATATGTTCTCCCTTCAACTTAAAAATTAAGTGTTTTTTTCCTTTCTTTTTTGTTAAGTGTTTATATGTTCTCATCAACGATGATAATAAATAAAGTGAATATATAACTTCCGTTCATCTTCGTCTTTCTTTACTTTTCGTTCACTTATACTCTGTAATTTTTTAAGCATTTTCAATTTCTTAGCTATTTTTTTATATGTTCCCTAAATTTATTGCTTCAAATCTTTAATTTTTTCCTTCAAATTTACTGCTACAATATCCTTTTTAAATTAAATAATTAATCAAAATTTTGATTATTATGATGAGATAATTATTGTTGTTGGTCAAGATATAATAACAAAATATTTTATTAAAAATATTTGTTGAAATAAATTTGGATAAAGCTAGTGAATGTTCATTGTTGTTTAACTTTGAGACTATAGATGTCAAAGAGGAAAAAATAAAAATATCTTCATATGAAACATAAAAAGAAAAATATTCAAGAAGTGTTGATGATGATCACATTCAATTTGTGGGTGAAAATTTTGATACGATTACTAAATCATTAAAAAGTTTATTAAAAATAAGACGTCACATCTTTAAAAAAAAGTGATGTTAGTGAAGAAATATAAATTTTATGACAAATTTTATAATATGTTTGAGTTTTAGCAACTAATGAGATCAAGATTAATTTTTTTGACTAAAAAATCGAAGCATAAAATAGTTAGCTCTAAAAGTTTATCGAAGATTAAATGTTGTAGTTTTAGTATGTTGTTTAATAATAAGTATGCATCTAAATAAATATTGATGTATTAAGATGGTGTATTAATTATGTACTTTAAAAATATCATTTATTTAATGTGTTATAAGACTAATTATGCAATTAGATAATATCATTATATTATTATTGTTTACAACTAATTTTGTACTTGAATAATATTATTGTTTTGTGTGGTGTATTATTTTGTATTTAAACAATATTATTGTTTTAGTATTGTGTATTACTAATTGAGTTAGTATATAATATTATTGTTTAATGTGATACGAAGTACACACTATTGTTTAATTGTACAAAAATTAATACCACTCTTTGTTCCTTTTCAATGTAGACATAGAAGAAGTTCATATTTTCAATAATTTATTAAACTTAAATTATTTATATTATCTATAATTATAATATTGAAAATGCTTATAAATAAGTATCATGAAGATTTTAAATCTAAAATAATATATTTATAATATAATCAACATAAATTATTCATATTATCTATAATTATAAATAAATTTAATTTGGTTTATTTATAAAAATAAATATTTTAATATATATATATATATATATTTTGTAAAATATAATTTTATATCGATAAATTAACTTAATAAAAAGTAAAGGTACGAAAAAAAAGTAATAAAATCATTATGTGCGTTTGCTTTATAAAAAACAATCATAAAAAATATTATTTAGAATTTATTTTCTAAGTTTCCTAAATATTATAATTTGTTTTTCAAATTTTTTTTCTAAAACTTTTCCCATTGAATCAAACAGATCCAAAGTTAAACTTTATTTGTGATGATATTGCACACTGCAAAGTTGAGAAAA